TGGTACAAAGAATGTGAGGAAAAAAAAGGGGGGGTTGGTGGGTGAAAGGGAATTTGAAAGGTTTATTGTTCGATTTTTTTGCACTAATATGTTTGCTAGCTCAACAAACATCATAGAGGGTGTAAGCTGCTTAGTAGTGCAAGGGGGCACGAACAAAGTCAACAGGATGAGAAAAGCATTCTCTTTAATAAATGGCAGGGAGGGAAGGTGCGGGTGAGATTATTTTAAGGTTAAGGGCAAGCAGTTTAGGGAGGGAGGGGTGGGTTTGTTCATTTTAAGATAAAAGGGCAAGCAGCTTAGGGAGAGAGGGGATGGGTGGATGAGTTCATTTTAAGGTAAGGGAGCAAGCAGTTTAGTGAGGGGGGAACGCTTCAAGCTATGAATTGAAAACCATAGTTGATGAAATTGATTCAAGTAATGGCAATACTGCGGAAGTTTCACTGTGTTGTTTCACGTAGAATGGTGATGGTTTAGGGTGGGGTTGGGGGTGGGGTGTCTTGTGTGGGGTAGAGTAGAGGTGGTAATATCGTAGAAGGTTTCAACACTTTTCCCTCCACATTTTGTCAGTTTGATGACTCTGTAAAATCTTGCACAAAAATATACATCGTCTCTCAAATATCAAATAGAAGAGTTACCAAACTCACAAAACATGAGGGTTGTCGAGGGGAAGGTAAAAAAAAAAAAGTATTTCCCCATCGACAAAGAAAGTCTCGGAAGGGTTCACATTAACTGTGTTTAACCCCTCGTCTGACTGACGGTTGAAAGTCTCCTTCTATGCGTCCTCCTCCTTCTTGTCGTATTCCTCCTTCTGTTCTTTCTTTCCTTCTGGGGGCTTGGGTCTTGCTGCTCCCAGAAGTAGTCGGGCAGGTCTGTGAGATAGTCTAGCAGTACATCCCAGTAGCTCGGCGCTAGTCATCCGAAGCCACACTTCTGACACACCAAGAACACGCCCAGAGTCCGACACTTACAGTACTTTTTAAACAACCGGCGGCGCTGGCGACAGTATTTCTTCAGCGCGCGGTCCACGGATGAGAACGTGTCTATACTGGTGATGGTGTTGGCCAGGTCTTTGGGTCTATAGCAGCCGCGCTTGTCGTTGAAGCAGTACTCGGCCTGGCTCTTGGCGAACGACGTCTTTATGTCCTTCCGGTCCTCTACACCGGCGCGACACGTGAACCGGAAGCGCTGCTGGAAGTAGCCATCTGATGTGCGGTTCGTGTGAACCCACTCGGTCCAGGGAGAGATCTTGGAGATTTCTAGGAGGAGAAGGAGGAGACATAATGAGGGAATACATAATCATGATAATAACAACAATCATCCTCATCATCATCATCATCGTAATAATAATAATAA